CTCAGCTCCAGCCCCAAGGACCTGGGACTGGCCCTACTGCCGAGCTCCAGGGGCAGGGCGGGTCTTCTCCAGCCAAGCCAGGCTGCTCTTCCAGGCACTAAACTAGGGATGGGCTGGCCCACTGAGCCTTTGGATCTGGCCCACTGGGATGCTCAGGCAGGCTACTGCTTGCCATAGCCCCAGGCACAAAGCAGACACCAGGTGTGGCCATGTGCCTCTAGGTACCATAGGCCCCTGGTGGGGGGGGGAGGGGGAGTGCATTGCCCCCACCCCCAGTACAATCATCACTGTTCCCATTGGCCAGAAGCTGACCAATGGGAGCCACAAGATTGCACTGAGCAGGGACAAGGCACAAAGTCTCCCCGCCCAGGGCACACAGAGATATGTGGCCCCAGCAGCTGGCTCCTTTGAGCCTAGGCCTGCAGCCGACAGGGGCCTGCCGGAGGGTCCCACTAGGCTGCTGTCCAGGAGCCACCCAGGTAAGCACCTCCCAGCCTGAGACTGCACCTGGCACCGCAGCCCTGCCCACCCCTCAACTCCCTGCCCCTGGTCACCACCCAAATCCTCTGCACCCTCCCCTTGTCCCAGGTCACAACTCCCTCCAGACCCTGCACCCCCTCCTACATCCCCTCCCCCAAGCCAGAATCATCCCCTGCACCCCACCCCTTCCCCAACCTTACACCCCAGTCCCCTGCCCCAGCCCCCTGCTTCACCCAAGCTCCCTCTCAGACCCCACACTCCAGTTCTCCACCCCAAGCTCCCTCCTGCACCTAACCTCTGTCCCAGACCCTGCATACTCACACTCTCTTTTCCTGGAAGCCCCAGCCTGGATTGAGTGGATCCTGCCTTCTCCTTATATCCCCTCCCCCTCTGCTAATGAGCCCAGCTGAAGCACGGTCCAACCCACCTCCAGGCTACGGCTACACTGGCATGATCTTGTGCAAAAACTCTTCCAGAAGAGAGCGTCTACACTGGCATGTGCCTTTGCACAAGAGATGTGCTTTTGAGCAAGAGCATCCGTGCCAGTGTAGACGCTCTCTTGCGCAAGAAAGCTCTGATGGCCATTTTAACCACAGGGCTTTCTTGCCCAAGAAATTCATGTTGCCTGTCTACACTAGTCTCTTGTGCAAGAACAGTTGTGCAAGAGGCTTATTCCTGAGTGGGAGCATCATAGTTCTTGCGCAAGAAGCACTGATTTCACACATTAGGACATCAGTGTTTTTGTGAAAGAACTCGCGGCCAGTGTAGACAGACAGCAAGTTTTTGTGCAAAAGCGGGTGCTTTTGTGCAAGATCGTGCCAATGTAGACACAGTCCCAGAGACAGTCCAGGCGGGTGCTCCAGGGTGTAGCTGTTCTCTCTCTCTGCAAGCTGTTAATGCCTTCCTGGGATAACTGGGTGTGGCAAGCTGAGAGGGGTGTCTGCCCTGCATTGGCTCTTTGAAGAGTAAAATCCAGCCCTGGGAGAGGTCTGGAGCCACAGCTGAGGCAGCTACAGCCAATTAGGGCCCAGCTCAGCCTGTATAAATAAGGGCTCCTAAAGGGAAGGAGAACACCCCACACTCCTGTTCTAGCTGGGGAGCGGAAGGGGCCTGGCTGCTAGGGAAGTTAGCGGCTGTCTGAGATAGCACAAGGTTGGGGAAAGGCAGGCAGAGCTGGGGAGCTCTGGCCAGGCAAGCTCCCAGGCTGAGGGGTCCTAGGGCTGCAGAAGGCAGCAGGTCCACACCCCTTGCCCATGGTATGTGGCCATTTCACACTGTAGTTTACCCCGAGGTAGGGGCCAGATGATGAGTGGTGGTGGGTCACAGAGGCATCGGGAATTTCCAGAGAGGGGAGGACCCCGGAGTACAGGGACACTGGACTGAACCAGCAGAAGACTTGCACCAGCAGCTGACATCCTGACCAGCAGAGGGCACAAACCGAGGTAGGAGAACAGCTTCCCTGAATGACCAACTGGAGACAGGGTGGGGGTGAGTGGCTGCCCCATGACGTGTGGTGGAGAACGTGGGCACATGCAAACACACCCACACTGATACAAGGGGGCTATCTAATAGACTCAGGCCATGCTGCCTGTAACTCAGGGAGGTATTTTTTAAAACTCTGGCCACTAGGCAGTGCTGCCCTGCAACCAAGGGCACTGTCTTACAGACTCTGGCTAACTGGAGGTGCTGGGAGCAGAAGGAGGGATGAGTGCCCACTCCATGATGCAGCCACAGAGTTCCTGCTGCGGGGGTGTCCGTGGCCACGATGGTGTTTGGTTCGCTGGCTTGTGAAGGCCATGACAGCCCCTTCCTGTTCTGAGTCACACCTGCTGATGGGCAGCTGTTGCCATGGGAACTGTGCGTTAGCTTTACTCTGTCATTAAGGTGGAGGGGGGAGGTGAGCCCTCAGCAAGGGGCCTGATCCTGATCCCACTTTCACTGGTGTAAATGAGGAACAACTCCTGGGGGGGAGGGGCGGTCACCCTTGGGTGAAAAATCAGGGTCAAGCTCTCTGAGCCTCCCCCCTGCTGGCCCAGGGGAAGCGGGGCCGGCCCCCCCGCACCTGGCTAGGGCTGGGAGCCATGGGAGAGCCCCTCCACACTTGTCTCATGCTCCTTGTAATGAACACTTGGCACTTCTGCGCGTTTCACCCGTCGCTTGATGCCTCTGGAGACTCCTCCGGAGCCCAGTGCTGTGTATGGGCCAAGAGACGCAGGGCAGGGGGCTAAGGCTTTTGTTCACGGCTGTGTACGGTGAAATTCAACCTACCTCCATCGTCTGGGGAAAGGCCTTCAGAGAGACGCATGCAGCGTCTAGAGCAGGTGCTGGCTGCTGCATGGGGCTGGTACCTCCCGTTTGATATCGCTGGCGGAACCAGGGCTCCTGCCTTCCAGCCCTTTGCTTTGTCCCATACACCACCCTCCCTCCCCTCCAGGACACTGCTCTTGCCCGCGTGGGGTCTCCAGGACATTGCTGGCTTTGTTGTGACAAGGGCTGTGTTCCTTCCCCAGCAGACTGAGTTGTCTCTGCTGGGCAGAGCTCCACAGTGCTCCAGCTGGAAAGTTTGGGGGATGGCTTGTTTCAAAGCAGGTAAAGCACCTGGAAAAGGTGCATCCATAACACAAGAACGAGGGGGTCCCCAAATGAAATGAATAGGTAGTAGGTTTCATACAAGCAAAAGGAAGCTTTTTGTCACCCAGCGCAGTCAACCTGTGGAACTCCTTGCCAGAGGAGGCTGTGAAGACCAGGGCTTTAACAGGGTTCAAAAAAGAACTAGATACATTCATGGAAGTTAGGTCCATCAATGGCTGTTAGCCAGGATGGGTAGGAATGGTGTCCCTAGCCTCTGTTTGTCTGGAACTGGCTGACAGGAGAAGGATCACTTGATTCCCTGTTCTGTTCCCTCCCTCTGGGGCCCTGGGCATCGGCCACTGTTGGCAGACAGGATCCTGGGCTAGATAGACCTTCGATCTAACCCCGTATGGCTGTTCTCATGCTCTTCTTCGCCACAGAGAGCTGCTGCTCTGCTGGGCAGGACACCAGCTAGGCAGGCTGAGGGGTGGGTGTGTCTGGGCAGAGGTGGGGCCCTGCGGTATTAATCAGCCCAAAACTCCCAGGAGCTCTCACCAGCTCCCAGCCCAATACCTACTTGGACCGTGGAGGGGGTGAGGACCTGCTATTTCCCATCCTGATGTGTGGGGGAGAGGCTGGAATTACTGTTACTGACATGGACACCTTTTCTGCTGGGAGCAGCAGAGCTCTGGGCAGGGGCTTCTTCCTCCCTTGTCCTGGACAAGGGCCATAACCCCCCGGGTGTTCTCTGCCTTCGTTGTGTCCCTGATGGACTGTGCTTTAGGTCCAGCCCTGGGGGGGGGGAACTGGACATGGGGTTCCGGGTCCTTGTCCTCACGTGTGCTGCTCTCCCTCCCCTGGACTAGTCAGGAGTGTGACTAAAAGCACCCATGGTCCTAGAGCTCCCTCTGGTGAATTGCTGGCTGCTCTCCCGGTATGGCCAAAGGATCCACAGCGAGAGCTCTTCTAGTCCAGCTCCTGGTCCAGCCCAGCCCTGCTTTGCCTTGCGGTGAGCCCAGCTCCTGGCCAGCCCCCGCGCTGTGCACAGAGGCACCCCCAGACGCAGACTCACTCACATCTTTTTATTGACTGTACAGAAAAGGGAGGGGGTGAGCATGACCCATCTCAAGACAGACCCGACTTTTGTATCTTCTTGTGGAGGTGATAATGGAAAGTAACTGGATTCCAGCACAACTTGGACATGTCAGAGCACAGAAGGGAGCAGGGGAGGCTGATGAAGGGCCGTGCTCAGCCAAACGCTGCACCTCAAGCCGGAGCCAGACCTGCTCTGGGAGGCGGCATCTTTCTTTAAAGTTTCCCAGTTTTGCCCCTGGTGGATGTGCTGCCAAGTCCCGCCCCTTCCTGCCTCTGGGTCCTCTTGGCACCGGCCACCTGCCTCTGGGTCCTCTTGTCACCGGCCGCCAGAGGGAACGCCACTCTCCCATGGGCCCTCCCCGGGTAAGTCAGGAGGGATGTGCAGCCAATTGGATCGCTTGAGTGTCTGGTCCTGCTTAATTCATGCCCCTGCAAGGGGTAGGCCTAATTCTGACCTCCCCTCCCCCAGTGAGTTTGAGGCTCGTTCGCTCAGAACCAAGCCCAGGAGGCCTCAGGGGCTATGTCTACACTGGCAGGTTCTTGTGCAAGAACTCTTGTGCAAAAACACGTCCACACTGCCATGAGTTTTTGCGCAAGAGCATCCATGGCCGTGTGGATGATCCCTTGCTCAAGAAAGCTTTGATGGCCATTTTAGCCATAGGGCTTTCTTGTGCAAGAAACCCCTGCTGCACTTCCACACTGCCCTCTAGTGCACGAGGGCTTACACTTGTTAGAAAAGAGCATATTTCTTGTGCAAGAATCTCTCTCAACACACTTTACTGTAAATCTTCTTGTGCAAGAGTGGAGGGGCAGGGTGGATGCTCTGCGGAAGAATGGCCTTCTTGCACAAGAACCCGCCAGTGTAGACACAGCCAGGGTGGCTTACTTTCCTGGTTTCCCTAGCCTCTTGCAATTGAGCATTAGCGGGGAGGAGGCAAGGGGGGGGACGTTGCCAGCTGCCGAGAGAGCTGTAGGGGGAGTCAAACGTTCAGAAACGGCTCCTAATTGCTTTCCGTCATTCTGGGCGAGCGCGATCCCCCGTGTACCGCTAGTGCCCGCTCCTGCGCCTAATTATTGGCACCTGCAATTCTGTGCACGCCGGCGCTCCGAGGCGCAGAGCACGGGGCTGTGCCAGCCAATCGGGGGGGCGCACCGCCTCCCCTCCCCTCCCCTCCCTCCGCGCCTGGGCCTAGAAACCCCCGGGGGAGCAGGGAGAGGTTGGCGCCGTCGGAAGCGCCCCACCATTGTGATGTCATCGCCTCGAGGGACGTGCGCCTCTCTCGTGCGCAGGGGGCCGGCCACAGCTGCGCCTGGGCTGGGTTCTCATGGAGCCAGGCGGGGGTCTGCAGAGCAGGCCGTCCCGGCAGGATGCCAGCCCGTGCGAGGCAGGTCCCGCGGGGGGCCGGGCTGCTCTCTGCAGCGGCCCCGCAATGCAAAGACGCGAGGCGAGGAGCAGGTGCCTGTTTCCATTAGGCCGTTTCAATTGGAATCGCCTGGCAGCACCTGGTGCCGGCCTGGCGGCCCTTTGGGGACGGGCTGCGGCAGCAAACAGCGGCAGCTGACTGGGTCCCGGCCGAACTCCCCCAAAGCCGGGAGCCTTTGGGCCTAGAGCTCGGGTTTGGGCCCTGCTGGACCAAAGGGGCCAGCCCCGAAGTTTGGATCCGGAACGGAACTTTCCTCCGCGCTCGGGATACTCCAGCTGGGGCGGGAGGGGGGTTGCGTCGGGCTCCTCTCTGGGGCTCACTAGTCGGTTCCCCCTCCGCCCGGGGCCCTGCTCTCGCCGCCGCTGAACGACGCAGGCCCGGAGCGGAGACGGGGGCGAGGGAGGACCCTGGGCGGTGGCTGGCGCTAAACATCTGGCTCCCTCGGCTGGCGCGCTTGGCTGAGCAGGGGCCGGGCATGGGGCGGGGTGAGCGAGGCAGTCCGTGCGGGGAGGGGCGGGGGGCGGGGTCCTATAGGTCCGAGACCTCCCCGGAGTAGGCGGCCGGGTCCTCCTCCGACCGCGTCGTCACCTTGAACTGGCGCCGCAGGAAGCCCCCGTAGCGCTTCTGATTGTCCCACTTGAGCTTGGGGCGGATCCGGCGCAGCAAGGCCCCGTAGCGCTTGTGCAGGTCTTCCAGCTCCGGGCCCTCCGCGCCGGGGGCCCGCTCCGACCTCCGCTTGGGATACTTGCGGAGGAAGCCTCCGTAGCGCTTCCTCGCGTCCCGCGGCTCGCCGTCCTCGGGCTCCTCCCCGGTCTCCAGCGCCGGGTAGTCCTCCGCGGCCGCCCGCTCGCCCGGCAGGCGGGGGAAGCCGGCGTCCTTCTTGGCCGCGCCGCCTTTGCCCAGGGCGCTCTCCCGCAGGAGCGAGCCCAGCCGGTTCTTGTCCAGCTTCTTCATGAAGCCGCCGTAGCGTTTGGCCAGGCCGCCGGGGAGGGGACTCCCCTCTGGCTCTGCCGGCGCCTCAGCCTCCAGCGGGGACAGGCCCGGGCCCTCCGCCGCCGGAGCGTGGTAGCACCTCTCCCACTCCACGCGGGACGGCAGGGCGCCCTGGCACTCCAGGGAACAGATCTGCAACACACCAAGGGAGCGGAGCCTTGACACCGGCCGGCCCCGCCCGGCCTCCAGCGCCTCTCTAGAGGAAGAAATCCCCGGCCCCGCCCGGCCTCCAGCGCCTCTCTAGAGGAAGAAATCCCCGGCCCCGCCCGGCCTCCAGCGCCTCTCTAGAGGAAGAAATCCCCGGCCCCGCCCGGCCTCCAGCGCCTCTCTAGAGGAAGAAATCCCCGGCCCCGCCCGGCCTCCAGCGCCTCTCTAGAGGAAGAAATCCCCGGCCCCGCCCGGCCTCCAGCGCCTCTCTAGAGGAAGAAATCCCCGGCCCCGCCCGGCCTCCAGCGCCTCTCTAGAGGAAGAAATCCCCGGCCCCGCCCGGCCTCCAGCGCCTCTCTAGAGGAAGAAATCCCCGGCCCCGCCCGGCCTCCAGCGCCTCTCTAGAGGAAGAAATCCCCGGCCCCGCCCGGCCTCCAGCGCCTCTCTAGAGGAAGAAATCCCCGGCCCCGCCCGGCCTCCAGCGCCTCTCTAGAGGAAGAAATCCCCGGCCCCGCCCGGCCTCCAGCGCCTCTCTAGAGGAAGAAATCCCCGGCCCCGCCCGGCCTCCAGCGCCTCTCTAGAGGAAGAAATCCCCGGCCCCGCCCGGCCTCCAGCGCCCCTCTACAGGGCGGAGTCTCCGGGGATCCCCTTCCAGCCCTGGCAGGGGGGTCTAGCTCTTGGCGTCCCATAACTGCCTCACTGTAAGGGCCTGCGTCCCACCCCCGTGCAGAGGGGAGCGTAGCACTCTGGTCCCCCAGAAGCAGCTTTTTCCCCACCTCTAACACCCAGGGGGAACGCTGGGCAAGATCGTCCGAGATTCAAAGGCGCCCCAGACCGCACGGCCCCGATTCTGCCGGGTCCGAGCAGACCGGTCGCTGTGCACTGGCGTACATGGGACCCACCACGTGTAGGGCCCTGAAACTGGCCCCGGGGGGTTGGTCTCCGCTCTCCGCTAGAGCTCTCAGTCCCCAGAGCAGTTGCTCTCTGCACCCAGCCTCCCCCGGCGAGCCGGATTTCAGCAGCCCGGCCCCCGCCCCGTGCAAGGCAAGAAGAACTGGGTGCACCGTGACCCGCGCACCGCCCATGGCAGCTGCACCCCCACACCAGGCACAAACGCAGAGGCCCACGTCTGGAAAATCTGGGTCTGTGCAGCAAGCGTGTCTCCCGGCCTGGCAATGGGCTGAAGTAAGAGCCAGCCTGGCTACAGCGCTTGTGTGTTCCGGGCTCCGAACTGCGCCTGGGGCGGGACCGGCACTCACCAGCGGATTGATGCGCTGCTCCAGATCCTGGCTCTGCAGGGCACAGGTGGCGCACTGGGCTGCGCAGTCTGCAGCGGCCGAATGAGCCAGGCCCAGGCAAAAGGCCAGCACCAGAACCTGCCACTCCATCCTGCGCCGCGGGCACTGCCTGGGGGGAGAGAGAAACCGCAAGAGACCAATGATCCTTCTGCAGCAGCTGCAAATCATACTCACGCAGCCAGGGGGCGCCCTCCGGGGAGCCAACTCAGCACCTGGCCACGCCCACCTCCCCTGTGTGTGGGAGCTCTACGCTGCACCGTTATTTTGAGAGAGCCAGCCTTATTTAGAAATAACAATAGGAGTGTGGACACAGCCATTCCCTTATTTCAAAATCATTTCAAAATAAGAGCTGGCTTATTCCAAAATCTGTAAACCTCATTCTATGAGGAATAACCCCTCTTCCAAAATAGCTGTTTTAAAATGAGGTGTGTGTAGACGCTCCACTGCTGCTATTTCGAAATAGCCCCTCACCAGGGCCATTCTAAGTTATTCCTCCCCAGTGCCTCCTAGGGCTCTAAATCGAGATAGCATATCTACATTAGGGGAGCCTGCCTGGGACTAATTTTGAGGCTTCCCTGCAGTGTAGACGTGCTATTTTGGAATAAGCTCTTTCGGAATAACTGTTCTGGAATAGCTTATTTCAAAATAGTGCAGTGTAGACGTACCCAGAGATCCTAGCATCACTTCTAGAGCAAAACACAGTGGGGCAAATGCCCCTGCAGGGCAGGTGATAGTCCCGAGAGAGGCCATTGTGCCGATGTCACACTTAACCAACAGCGCCCATGTGCAGGTGACCCCAATGCGGTGGCCTGTGCCACTCGGCGAGATTGTGTCTTGCCCAAGGCCACCACAGCCATCTGCAGCAGAGCTGGCATCTTTGAACCCCGATCTCTGGAATCCCTGCCCCGGACCTGGTCTGGGAGGCTGTCCTTCCCTGCAGCCTGTCCCAGAGACACCCTCCAGCCGCTTGTGCGAGAGTGGGGAGAGCTGTGCTCCCTGCAGCTTGTGCTCATCCCATTCACATCAGACACACCACCATGCCCAGGCCTTGGCTGCCGCTGGCCAGCAGCAGCACCAGAGAAATTTCCTCTGGAGGCTGTTTGAGCTGCTTTAGGGATTGCAGGGGCGTGAGCAGCACCATCGGGGTTCACTTTGAGTGTTAGGGATACGTCTACACTGCATGGCTATGATGGGATACCAGAGCTATCCCAAAATAGCTACCCCGTGTCTACAGGGTATGTCTATACTGCAAGTTTATTTCAGAAAAAGCCATTCCGGAAAATATTTTCTACACTGTGGGGAAACCTCAAAATTAGTCCAAGGCAGGTTCCCCTAATGTAGACGTGCTACCTCGATTTAGAGCCCCAGGAAGCACTGATGAGGGATAACGTTAGAATGGCCCTGGGCAGGAGCTATTTCGACATAGCAGCAGTGGGGCATCCGCACACCCCATCTTCCAAAAGAGGTTTTGGGGGTTTTTTTTGGAAGAGGCATTATTCCTCATGGAATGAGGTTTGCCAACATTGGGGGAAGCCATCCGTTATTTTGACTTTCTTTTGAAATAATGCAATTGCAGTGTGCACGCTAGTATTGTTTTTCCAGAATAACAGCCATTATTCTGGGAAAACGGTGCAGCGGAGACACACAGGTGCACTTCTTCGCCATCACAGTAAATCTTGTTGCAGGAGGGATAAGGAATGGCTAGAAATAGTGTGTTATTTTGAAATTTGGTGCTGTGTAGACATTTCAAATTTCAAAATAGTTTCAAAATAAGATACACAATTTGCGTAGTGCAAATTGTGTGTCTTATTTTGAGTTTAGGGTGCTGTGTAGATGCACTGATGCACCATGCAGCATTGCAAAATATGTCTGCGTGAAATAGGCAGGAATAAACACTCCCAGCACTCCTGCGCAGCCACACCCCCACAATGACATGCGCACACACACACACACACACACATACACACACATTGCCCACCTATCTAGCTCAGAAGCTCTTCCCTTTCACCCAGCTGCCAGCTTTGGCACGGGCCCACCACACCCCTTAGCCCAGAATCTCAGCCCCCATCCTGCACATCTCCACAGATGTCAATAGAGCGATCACTTTATCTACTGCCTCCAGGTCCCGTCTCTTTGCCCCAATAGATGTTAGGAAGCCCTAGCAGGATTGGGTCAGCTTCTGCCCCATCTCTCAATGTTCCTGGCGTCTCGGGGACCAGTTCGAACGTGCCTCGGGACAGCGCATCTCTCATCAGCGGGACCTTTCTCATCACATCTCTGATGGAAGCCGCGGGCCTCGCTCTCCCAGGCGCTGCTCAGTAACCTGCCCCTGCCGGTGCGTGCGGGAGAGCGGTTTGAACCCATTTATCCCGACGCCTTTTCTGTATCCTTGGAAAAAGAGTCTTTGTTTTTAACCAGCAGCTGCAAGGGTTTCTGGGCTGCATTGTTCTCGCTGCACTACCGGGGGGCTTGGAGGGTGAATCACTGCGTCTCCTACGTGGCCTTGGAAAAGAAAGGCAATGAAATCCACAGCCGCGATGCATCACAGGAGAGCAGGGGGAGGGGGGAATTCAAGGTCTTTGTGTTCTGGCAGTACCTTTCCAACGCCCGCCTCCGCCTTTCCCACTTGGTGAATATATCCCCTCTGCTTGGGCCTGGATCCTGCGGGAAGGGGGCGAAGGGGTGGGGAGGGGCTTGGGAAACCAGGCTCTGAACCTAACCTACCTCCAAGTCGCATGTTGGACTCCTCATCCATCCGATGAGGGCCCATGTGAAGCACTGGCCAACAGCAGCAGCCATATCAGTTGGAGAGTGCCACCCCAGAAATGCCCCTACCTGCCTGGTGATGCCCCTCGTCCTCACCACAAGTGTCCTCTCTCTCTCTCTCTCTCTCTCTCTCTCAGAAAAAGATATGCAAATTATGAACCGTAATTTCCATTTCCATATTTCCATTTTCTGACAATTGGTCTGTCTACACTGGGCCAAATGTCGTGCGGGGGGAAGCTTCTTTTGGAACATCCCTTCTTCCTCATAGAACGAGGTTTACAAGGATGCCAAAAAAACACATCTGCTTTTCCAATTTTTTTTTTAAAGCAGATGCATTCCTTGGACACCGGTATCCCAGATAAACTCTGTAGTCTATGCAATCTCGACGTACCTACAGAATGCTGCGTCCCACCAAACACCTTCCTTCCCCAGCCCCCCGACGTGCATTCAAAGCCCTTACACCCAGTAGGGACAGAGGAAGTGACAACTAGACAGGGCCGAAGTCAGCATGGACTTCCTACGAGTTTGCGGCAGCTGCCCCAGAGGAGCAGGGAGTTTGATGAGACACCTGGGTCCTGCCTAGATTCCTCGGCTATGCGAAGAATGGACAAGGGATGGAGCGAAGGTTCCTGCTCCCACCGCACCTCACCAAGGAGGAAAATAACAGAAGAAGCGCTTTATTTTCCAGCCACCTGAGAGGCAGAGGACGTGCAACAACTCCGCTTTGAGCTGGAATATGCTGTTTAACCCATGCTGCCTACAACCCCCAGCCAGTGTGAGATCACCTGCACTATCCCCACAGCCCTCCACCACATGATCCCTACATGTCCTGGGCTAAGTCATTTTTTGCAGAGTTTAGAAGAACAGCAGGTCAGAAGCCCAAGATACATCTACACAGCAACATTCTTTCAAAATAACTAGCATTCTTTTGAAATGACTTACTCCGTGTCTACACAGCCGGCTGTTATTTCGCAATAATGTCAACATAGGGTGTGTCTAAACTACACCCCTTTGTCGGCAGAGGGATGTAAATTAGACACAACGAAAGTGCAAATGAAGCCAGGATTTAAATATCCCGCGCTTCATTTGCATAATGGCAGCTGCCGCTTTTTTTCGAAATGGGGCTTTTCAAGAAAAGCCCAGCAGTTTAGATGGGGCATTTTTGACAGAAATGCCCTGTTTAGAAAGATCCTGTACTCCTCAAAAAATGAGGGCATTTAAATCCCGGCTTCATTTGCAATTTCCATACATCTAATTTACATCCCTCTGCTGACAGAGCGGGGTAGTTTAGATGTACCCATAGGCTATGTCTACACTGGCGCAATCTTGCACCAGAGATATGCAAATGAGGCTAAGGGTGGAATATTGCCGAGCCTCATTTGCATATCTAATGAGCCGCCATTTTGCAGAAGAGGCTGTTGCACCAGAAGGAGCTGTCTACACTGCCCCTTCTTGCGCAAGGAAAACCCTCTTGCACAATGCTGCTACGCTGATTATTTTCAGGAATAACAGGATTGTGTAAGAGGGTTTTTCTTGCGCAAGAAGGGGCAGTGTAGACAGCTCCTTCTGGCGCAAGAGCCTCTTCCGCAAAAATGGCAGCTCATTAGATATGCAAATGAGGCTTGGCGATATTCCATGCTTAGCCTCATTTGCATATCTCTGGCACAAGATCACACCAGTGTAGACAGCCATACCGTCCAGCTGAAAGACTTCTTACTCCGATCCCTGTAACCTTCATGGTAGGAGGAGTAAGGGAGGTCGGAGGGAGAGTGCTCTGTTTCGAAATAAGCAATTGAGGTAGCTCAATTTGCAGAGTTTATTTCGAGTTAAGCCCTGCTGTGTACATGCACCCAACTCCCAATGCTGGAACCTTCCTTCCCTCGGTCATTATTTAAGGACCCATGGGAGTTGGGAGCCTAAGTTCCATTGACTTGCAACAGGAGTTAGGCGCTTTTGGAAATGTTGTCCGGTGGACCTGGCGTGTAAGTTTAGTTGTCTCCCGCACAGGAGACCCAGCCACCGGTTGTGAGCACATGATAAGAGTGTCCTGTTACCTTCGTGGCCCCTTTTGCCTCCAGACAGTGGCGTAACCCAGTAGCAGCCCTTCTGGGATTACTGCAGGCGCTCGCACTCCCAGTCAGTAGCTGTTAATGCACCCTAATTGGCACTCATGAAGAAATTATGTTAATGTTCCAATTATTAAGTCAGGCTCCGCTTTAATGTCATTTGAATGATCAGCATTATCGTATGCCAAATGATCTGCGTTAATAGAGCACCCGATTCACCAGCCGCAACGCTGTTTCCAGGACGCTCGGTAAATGAGTGGCTGAATAAGGACAATGCTTTGCACTCGTGTAGCGCCCTTCAGCTGCGGATGTCGACGCACTCGAAACGCCAAGAAACCTCCCACCTGGACTGCGACAGGCGTCATCGCCGCTTTGAAGGTGGGTAATACGAGGCACAGAGAGTGTGGTTTGCTTAGGGTCACAAAGCACCCAAGAGTCCCTGTCCCCAGGCTCCTGCTCAAACCACTAAGTCGTTCTCCCTCCCTGCTAAGCTCGCGTGGGGCTCCATTAAGAGTGCTAGCTACCAAATGGCCTCTCTGCTAGTCCCGCAAAGCGCAGTGGCCAGAGAGAACTCTGCAGAAGCCAAGCTTGGTGCAAAGCTGGGACAAGGAAGCCGGGTCCGGTATGAAAACCAAACGGATTGTTAATTGTGCGATGTAACGTGCTCTCCCTCTGGAAAACTGAAATGCGGGTGCTCTTGGCTCCGCAAGGGAAGAGAAGCAACAAAGAGAGGGGGCCGGCCTGGAAATGGTGAAAAGGATGGAGGCGAGGAAGTGAACGAAAAGAGGGAGAAAAAGACAAATCCGCCATTTGGCAATCACAGCTCCGTGTTCAGCTCCTCACCCCAGGGCCGAGCATGAGAACAAAAGAGCCACTGGGTCGGATCAATGGTCCAGCTAGCCCAGTGTCCTGTCTGCCAACAGTGGCCAATTCCAGATGCCCAAAGGGAGGGAACACAACAACTAATCCTCACGTGATCCCTCTCCTGTCATCCGGTTCCAGACAAACAGAGGCTAGGGTCACCATTCCTGATGGACCTGACCTCCATGAATCTATCTAGCTCTTTCTTGAATGCTGTTAAAGTCCTGGTCTTCACAACATCCTCTGGCAAGGAGTTCCACAGGTTGACTGTGCTCTACATGAAGAAAAAACTTCCTTTTGTTTGTGTTAAACCTGCTGCCTATTAATTTCATTTAGTTCTTATAGGCCCTTAGGGCCACAAGGCCCCCCAGGCACCTGCCTAGCAGGATCCTATGCCTGGCATGGCGCAGAAGACCGAGGAAGGTTTTGCACAGAGAACAAAGGCAGCAACGTGCCTGTTTCCTAGCCACGACAAGGCCTGTGGCCGAGGGGAGAGAGAGAGGGATCTCCATGGGGGCTGGGCGAGCCAGGCCTGACGCAGGATGACGGGCTTTTGGCTGGCTTAGCCGCCCAGCGCGGCGCGGAGCATCTGTAAGCAGGGCCGGGCCTTTGGGCTGGCCGAGCCTCGGGACTGAACGCCCCGCGGCCCACCCAGACCGGGGTCGCTCCGTTCCACGCGGCTTGATCCGAATCCTGATTTGACCAAGTCAGTTCCCCCCCGCCTCCCCCCGCTTCCTTCTGCTCGGACACGTGGGTCCCGGCGCTGCCTCTCCCTTTACCCCGGCCAGTCCAAAGGGCTAAGTTCACACCAGGCGCGGCCAGACGCCTCTTGGCTTCGGAGACGCGTCACGGGTGGGGACCCAGCCTGGGGGCCGGGAGTCCGCATCCCTTCGTCTGAGCCAGCGCCGCCCCCGCCGTTGATCTGAGTCTGGAGCCCAGGAACGGGCGTGGATCTCATAGACTCATAGACTCATAGACTTTAAGGTCAGAAGGGACCATTATGATCATCTAGTCTGACCCCCTGCACCGTGCAGGCCACAGAATCTCGCCCACCCCTCTTAGAATAATCCTCTCACCTATGTCTCAGATATTGAAGCCTTCCAATACTTTGAAGGCCCCAACATGCAGAGAGTCCTTCAGCTGTGATCTGTGCCCAATGCTACAGAGGAAGGCGCTCAGCTCCCGCGATTGATTTCCACCGAGAATATCGATTCCTACGCGCATGATGTAAAGCCCCTTGCAAAGCGCTCGAGCGGTGATTTAAGTGTCTGGCGCGCTGGCCTTGGCTCGCAGGGAGGAGATGAGAAAAGCAGAAGCCGCTGCGGCAGGTGGGAGGCCGGGCCCGCTGGCGAATATGGAGCCCACGGGCGTTTCGAAGCCGACGTGCCAAATTGCAGCCGCGCTGGGCAGAGGGGGACGCTTTGCCCGGTGGTTCCCTAGCGGCTCGGGCACAAAGGGAGGACGGGGACGGGGGGTTTCATGACACCCCGCTGGGGGCCTGCTGCGGTCCCCGGACATCAGGCAGCCCGAGACCCCCTCCCCGAGATTCGGGAGCAGGGCTCCACCCCGGGCTTAGCTGCTCAGCCGGAGAAGTGAGCGATGAAACCAGAGCAGCGGGGAAAGGGGGGGGGGGTTGACCCTCTGCCCGCAGCGCCTTAGAATTCAGTTACCCGCGCCCCGTGTTCTTCCCCGCTGGCTCCCGATGGAAAGAGGATTGTTTGTAAAGTTCTCCCCTGCCGCGGGTTGGAGAATCAGCCCCGGGGACAGAGTCTTTCACCGCTGAGCCGAGTGGGGAGCAAATATGGGCGGCGAGGACCTGTTGGGTGGGCAGGCGGCGCGGCCCAGCGGGACCAAGGATCAAACGTGCGGACGAGCTGCAGAGAACAGCTCGTACTGTCAGCGCGCCCGCCCGGCTCCGCAGCTCCGACCCGGCGCTCTTACCTCGGCTCCCCTGTGCGCAGCCCGGGTGCGCCAGGGGCTCCTCTCCGGAAGATCGATCGTTTTGGACGCGTTTTAGGAGACTGGGAACATTTCGAGCCGCGTTTCGCCTCCCCCTCGCTTGCCCCCATGGCCTCTTTCGGAACCAGGTGGAAATGCGCGTTCGCTTTGCCCGCTCACCAGCCCTTTGGAAGCAAAACTGCGCAATTCCACGGGACCGCTCCATTCCTCGCAACTTCCAGCCCCGCCACCTCCGAGTTGGGAGCTCTTGCTGCGGGACACGGGTCTTTTCATCAGGGGATTATTCTTTTCAAGGCGCTACCCTTCCCCTCCACATCAGCTCTCTAGCTTAGTTTGCGAGGGCATTGGCTTCGGCTGAAGTAATTCTGTCCCCTCTGGAAAGACGCGTTACCCAGCTAGCCCGGCTCGGTAGCAGGCAGCTCTAGGGACGAAAAAAAGATCTGGGGACAAGCAGCCTCATCTGCAGGTCTTTACATAATTTAGCAGCTGCTAAGAGGCACTTGGCACTAGGAACCATCAGACCAGGGGGGTTTAAACTAATCAAGAGCCGTTTTAATGACAGAGTCGCTAGCCAAGCTGCAGCCTGTGAATCATTATTAGAAGCTGAAAGGCGAGGAAAGGGAAAGCTAACCTGAAAGCAAAGAATAAACTCCAAAAAGTGCTGGATTCAGGAACATGCATCACAGAGAGAGAGAGAGAGAGAGAGAGAGAGAGAGAGAGAGAGAGCTGGCACACAGACAGAGAGAGCTGGTACACACACACACACACAGGGTGCATACACACACACACATAGAGCTGGTACACACACACACATAGAGCTGGTGCACACACACACACACACACACAGAGAGAGAGAGAGAGCTGGCCCGTGCACGCGCACACACACACACACACACACACACACACACACGTGTCTAACCTGTGAGTTCCTCCCAGTACCTGGAGAGCTCCCCACCTGTGGCAGAGTTTGGGTGGAAAGTTTATTCTGGGAGCCGCAGACTCCTGTGGCAAGTTGAGGGTCTCCGCAGATTCTGTCCACCGGCTCTCCTGGGCTCTAGATGAATCTGGCCATCAGTGAGGGTGGGGTGGATGGAAATTGCTCCCTCCTCTCAGTTGTCGCTTTTCAGCTCGGTCACCCCCGACTCTAGGAAAGCCGACGGTACTGAGGACGGCCGAGCTCTGCAAGTCTCCCCTTTGGAATGGCAGCTCCACGCTTTCTACCCCCTCTTTTTATTGACACGGAGCCTCCTCCTGTCATCGAGCCCCAGCTCAGCACAGGCTCTCCGGAGCCAATCGGGGGAGAGGGAAGCTCTGAATAATCAGTCACACAGACGCCTTGACGCCTCCCTGAGTCGGGCTCCCCACGATCCGCAGGCCCTTTGACCAGTAACACCTCAAAACCGACAAAAGGCACCTGCTCCAGGTAGGAGTGTGCCAAAGGGAGTGGTGTGTACACACACACACACACACACACACACACACACACACACACACACACACACACCCCCGGGCAGCTGGTTCTCAGGTGTCCCTGTTTGCTTGCCTGCCTCGCTGAGGGACAGCAAAGCATTTGTGTCTCCGGGTG